TGTGGTGCTGGGGATTGAACCCACGGCCTTGTGCATGCAAGGCAAGCACTCTACCAACTGAGCTATAGCCCCAAGAACTTACCAGTTTTGTAAGCTAAAATTTGAAATGCTTTTAAACATTTTGCTACCAAATTTCAAGCTAAAGCCTTTGGAATAATTGTCCAGAAAGAATTTATAACTATGTGGCTTTTTAGATACTCTGTACAAATTATAGTACCTATTCATCAAATAATACCCAATAAAATCTCACTAATCAAGAAAATAATTGATAGAGAATAAGATAAAACCTTATATTTGTTTATTCAAATATTCACCATATTTCCAGAGACTATGTATCAATCCAAAACATAAGCCTTCCGAGAAAAGATTGGTGAGATATGAATTAACAGCTGTACATGGAAAGACAGATCACAGAATGAGGATGTGTGAGATTGTCTGTGTGATAATCAAATCCAACATACTGGTGGCTCTGTTAAAGGGATCATGTTTGCAGAAGGTGGCTGGTAGCAGTTTTATTCAGGTGTATGATCAAGCCTGAATCATTATATTTAGTTCTGGGCATCATTGCAGCTAACTAGACTATGTGCAGAAGGATATGTCCAAGGCAATGCTGAGAATCAAAGCTGGGCCAGGAAGAAACCTGAAGAAATTGGGTGGATTATTGTGGAGACAAAGTTATATTCTAATAGCTAAATGACTTTCATATCCACATCGAAGAGGTCACAAATGGGAAAGCTGGGGTCTGCAGCATCAAGTTGCAATGAGGCACGTTTTTGTATAATGTATAAAGTTAGGAAGAATTAGTTAGTGATGATAGCTGTCTAAAAGCAGAATACATTTTAATTCTCAGTTACTTTGAAGTTTCTTTTTTTTAAAGTTTATTTTTCAGTTTTCAGTGGACACAACATCTTTATTTCATTTTTATGTGGTGCTGAGGATCGAACCCAGCGCCCCACACATGCCAGGTGAGCACGTTACCGCTTAAGCCACATCCCCAGCCCCTACTTTGAAATTTCTAAGTCAAGGGTGAATGAGCACTGAAGGGCATGTTATACAAGGAATCCAAATATCCATTGTAAGAATTGGGTTAATGAATGCCCCAAATTTCTCCCTGTCTTAACCCTATGTGTTTCTCTTATATAGGCATAAAACACATACCTGTGTTATAGCTGAATTCAAATGCCACCTAAAAAATCTTCAGTATGGAAGGAGACTCATACTGGGAAACAAATCAACTGTTTGGATAGTAGTTCACATGACAGGACATTTATGACCACTCAATAAAACAATACTGAAAATACATTTCAGGGATAATTGTTTAATCTTATCAAATTTGCATTTTTATGCCAGAGAGATTCCAGTTATATACTTGGAGAATGCACCTGAAGAGTATAAAAACATCTTCGGTTGCAATTTATAAAGAGAAGTTAACTGCATGAATTTACTAATCTTTCCCTCATCATTAAATATGTATCTTCTTAAACAACAAAAACAAAATGCTGCTGCATTATATTAAAACCATCCATGCACACAGTTATACTAGACTGCAACATTAACTTTAAGGTGGAAAACCTATAACATAAATATTATCATCAGGCTCTAAACCAACATTAGAATGGACTTTCAACATTAATTTAATTCTTTCCCTTTAATATATGTTAATTACAGAATACTTGAAGAAACTCAAATGACAAAGGAGAAAACAATTACCCATTGTGTTACTGCCCAGAGACATTGTCATGAACACCTTGGTGTATTTCCTTCCTGTCCTTTTTAACTTTACAAATTCTTGGTGTTTATTGTACATGCTTGTGACCATATTGTATCTGCACTTTGTACCCTGCTTCTGAGGCACAAATAACTTCCTCTGTTTTTATAAATTTTGACTACGTAATTATCCACCTTGTAGATTCATTATCATTTTTTTTGTTAAACATGTGTAGGCTATCAGTGGGTTCTATGCCTTGAACATCACAGTGAGTTATCAGTAGAGTCTAGATATGCAAAGTTTTGGGAAATTGTCTTCTAAATAAAATTCATAGCTATTATGTAAAAATCTGACAACTGCTTATCATTTCCCTGTGGAGCCCTTGCAACTGCTTCAGGTTACAAGGCATGGTTGCGGTGAGTTTGCCACAATTCTAAACCACATCTATTTCTAACAGGGGTGTGTCCTCTTACCCTGGAGTTCATGGTCATTCCTGGATAACCCTTTGTCTAACTGCCTGGAGGACAGAGACTGTTAAATGGTGCCATTTCTCATTGAGTTTGGAAGAGGGTTTGTGTCCCTATCAACTCAAATATGCTTCATCATGGCAAAGAATAACTCTTAAGGGATTCTCCTCTGGGTGTGTAATATACTTTGAAAGTCCATCTCGCAATAACCCATGGTAAGACCTGTTAATTCTGTTCTGCTGCTGATATTGTAGATTCCTTTAGTGCCTCTTAAATCAGAACCCAAGCAGAATATCACCGAGATTTACAAGTGCTCCTGGATCTCACCAGGAAAATCCACAGGGACTTTCCCCTTGATGTGCCTAAATGGAGCCCAGTTCTGCAGGAAACCATTATTTTGTGTGTCTTCCATGTGGTCCTGTGTTTAGGTTATAGCTAGAGCCTCACATGAAATAAAGCTTGCATTATAGCATGTGGATGAATGCATGTCCTATGGAATCCTGTTAAAAAAATTTGTTTAAGGGGGCTGGGGCATAGCTCATTTGTTAGAGTGCTTGCTTCGCATGCACAAGGCCCTGGGTTCAATCCCAGCACCAAAAAAAAAAAAAAAAAAAATGTTCAAGGGACAAAAACCCAATTAGAAGTACCCAGTTAGAAGTAACTGGAACAAACCTATATATAAGCAACTTACATATTTAACCAACTGCTGCCTAATAAATGCAGATGAGATGATCAAGATCATTTGTAAAATGCCTCTTTCTTTCAGAGTTAAGAAGGGTGAGTGAAAACGGTTATGATATGGCAAGCTTTAAGGAGCCTACATTTCAGTCATTTTCTTCCCAAGCCAGAGAGATTTATTTATTCATTCATTAATACAACAAATTATGTAGCTGGAGAATGGAGATGAATGACATTTTTCCTACCCTCAACCAATTCAGAATAACAACATACATGTTTTTAGATCATTTTAACAGGTCCAGAAAGGGAGAAGTGCATTAGATTTTATAAGTCTTTTAAGTAAGGGCATCCAACCCAGCTTAAGTGAGTAGGGAATAAGAAAAAATGACAGAGAAATCTTCCTGGAGGAAGTTACGTCCAAATTGGGTTTTTTACTTTTTAACTTTTAATTTTAAAGTCTGTCCTTAATCTTTTGTACCTCTCCTTCAAACTGTTTGCTGCTGCTGCTGCTGGGGTTGTTGTTGTTTAAAGAATCAATTTTATTGGCCCAGGAAGGAAAGAATGATGGGTGTGTTGGGACAAAGGTGGCAGGTGAACAGTGTTTCAGGGAGAGGGACAGCATCAGCCATGGTATGGAGTGGGTATGAAAGCAACATGTGTGTTCTGACATGTTTGAAATGCTTATTGGACACCTGCAGAAATGTTAAGTGGGCAGGCAGAAGTGTAAGACTGCAGTTCCAGGGTGAGCGCAACTCTGGAGATCTAAAATTGGCAATGACTGGTATATAACTGGTATTATATATGGTATTTGCATATGTAAGACCAAATGAAGTTGACCAGGAAAATGAGTAGTTAGAGAAGGGTGCCCAGGGCAGGGGCCATGGAAACAGATCACCCTAACATTTAAAGGGTGGCCCAACAGGAGAAACCAGCAAAGGAAATGGAAAGGGTGGCAAGAAAGGCTGGGGGAAAAACCAATAAAATATTCATGGGACAAAAAAGTACAGCTGTTTCTTGTGGAGGAATCATAAAAATTGTTTCACAGTTGAAAAATTCTGGGGATGGAGAATAAGGTGGCAAGTGCGGATAATGGAAAGGTGTAAATATCTTAAAACTTCATCTTCTTGGTCTCTGAATGCCTTTATCACTCCATTCAGCTTCAAGGTCAAATTCTGAATGTTTCTGAAAATGTTTTGCAAGTGTGTAAAACGTGGTTATCTGTTTCATGGTATTGTGGAGATTAAATGAGATATGTAAAGTTTACAGTAGCTGCACCATTAGAGCAACTTTCAACCAAGTGCACATCCCATGTTGGCCAATGTCTCGTATTTTTACCACCTTTTACTCTTAATTCTATTGCAGATTCTTTGACTCCAAATCTAGTAATGTTGGCACTTATCGTGTACTCAGATTAAGTCATTTCAACCACTGGGATTGTTATCTCACAGACCCTGAAGTCAGCAATTAGCAGCCTCGCTTCAGGGCCCAGGTCTTAACTGCTGATTTTACCACTTTTAGCTGGACAGACCTGGGCCACTTCTTCAGCCAGACTGCTCATAACAAACCCAGTTTTCTCTTAGGAGCCATTCTTATTGCTTGCCGTTGCCAGAGACTCTCGCTTTGATTCCCGGAGCCCATGAAAGGTAATTTAATTCACCCAGATGGAATCAGCCCAGCTAAGTCCTTTAAGTTCTGTGAACTTTCACCTTGGCCGGGCAGCGAGTCTGCACCACAGTCCCTTTTGGCAGTGGCTTCGGGGCTCACCCGTAGCGTCATTTTCTCAAGGAGCAATACGGGTATTCTCTAAAAAGACTCAGGGTCCCACGGAGCCCGCGGGCGAGCACGTTAACTGGATAGCTGAGGCCGCTCCAGGTTCCGGCACTGCGCGAGGTCTTGGGACAGCGTGCGGAGGTGCGGACCAGCAGCGGACCAGTTCCAGCAGTGAGCGGAGAGCAGGAACCGCAAAAAGCTACCAGCTTCGCAGGCCGGGGCGCGGCACAGGCGGGGAGGCGGGGACGCAGGGGGCGGGTCCAGAGCGCGGCAGGAAGGGGGCGTGGCCTGGAGCCCGCGCGGCCGCTCCCCGCCCCCTCCGCCCAGCCTGCGGCTCCGCCTCCGGGTGACGTCACTGGCCAGGCCAGCCGGCGCCATTTTGAAAGTGGAGTCGCCTGCCGCTGCCGCCGCCGCCGTCGCTGTCGTAGCCTCCGCCGCTGCGGGAGAAGGAGCACGAACGGGGAAGCCCCAGAGTGAAACCCACCATCCCGCTGGCTGGTTTGCCCGCCCCTCCTTCCTTCTCCCCCGGCCCCCGCCCCCTCCCCCCACAGGTGCCATCCGCCGCCATCCGCCCTCTCTACCCCCCCATCCCCAGGTGAGGGGGGTGAGTTCAGGAAGCGGAGACCCGGAGCAACTCAGCAGGGTCACCATTTGCTGTGCAACATGGCAGGTAAAGGAGAAATCGCCCTCGCCCGCTGACAAGGCGCCGCTTCCTCCCTCCTCCCTCCATCACCCCCTAGCGACCGCCGCGCCTCTCGTGCAGCCACCGGCGCCCCTCAGATTTCGGGGAATTGGTCAAGCGGGGTGGGGTGGGGGCGGGGAGGCGCTGGTCGGCGGGAGGTGGGAACGGCTTTGAAAACGAGGGTTGGAACCTTGGCATGGGCGTGGGTGGGGGTGGGGTGTGTGCCGGCGGCGGTGGGGTGAGGCGTGGGTGGGGCGTGCAGATTTGTCCCCACGGCTCGGGAGCCCGGCGTATCCTCTGCCACCCTGCCCCCAGCTCTTTTTGCGGATCTTCCTTCGTATAATTCCTATTTTCCCCCCCGGCTGCAAGCCTCCTTGGGTTTATAGACAAATATATTCTACACTGAGAAGGAAGAACGCTTTACAAGTTAAAATACAATGGAGGCATGTACGTATTTTCCTCCCACGGTGGGTTCCTCTCTATTTTGAGGGGGAATTTTTTTTGCTGCGAACCATCCCCCCCCCTTTTTTCCCCTTATCCTTTATGACCAAAGGGTGCAAGGCCTTTAACATACAGCGAGTTGCACGAAGGACGTAGTTTAAACTTTGCGTTTTGCATGTTAGCTTTTGTGCAAATGTCCTTTTCCCAAAAGGGTTTGGTAGAGTTAGTTAAAATAGTTGTGGAGTTCAGTGATATAAATAGCCTGAAGGAGAGATTTCGTTAAACCTCGCAAAAAAAAAAAAAAAAAAACGGTGTAGAGAAAACCAGGTTGGAAATATTTAGCAAGGAATAAGGTTGAAGGAAGAGGAGGTAATCGCTTTGAGGATTATTTTTGTATATTTTTGGCCAATGTCTTCCTTTAACTAGTTGAATCAATTATAGGTTTAGTTTAGTTTCATCCTTCATAGATCCTGGACATTTTCACCATTTTTTCTATAAAGCTTAAAGTGAAATCGATATTAAACTAACTTTCTCTGCTTTTTGTAGTATTTAGATAGATAATGGAACCTTTACAAAAGTTAACATGATGAATTGATTTACAGTTTGCTATAAACAAATTACTCTTTGACCTTGTTGAATAACTAAATGAATTAAAATTGTTTTGCACAAGATGATGATAAATTAGCGAAAAGAATTCTTTGCCAGGTCTTTGGATTCTGAAGGATGAAGGGAAAGCAGAACAAGTTTCCTTTGACAGTCTCTTCTGCATTCATTTCTGTTCCTTTTCCTCTGTTTGGAGCCAGTGATTTGCTGGTAATGAATGCAAAGAAATGGGTGTTATGTTTGTGGTGTGCAGGTTTTGGGCAATAGGGTTCATATGAATCATTACTCCACAATAAGAAAGTAATGTTTCCGAAGTTTTCTCTTCGTTCTGTGTTTCATGGTATTTTAACTTTAATAATGCTTCTGCAGGCTTTTTGTACATTAAAGAAAAACTCTAACTTTGGTATTTACTTTTTTTCTGGTAGGTCTTGCTTGAATGTAAGACTCCTCTGTATTCAAGGAGAAGGGAAAGTGGAAGAGAAGTTTTGAACATATGTACAATAACAATAGAATGTACGCCTTTAAATATTTCATACTTGGAATCTTGTTTTTAATGCACTTCCAATTATTGGGGAGTTTTCCAAATTGGTGTGCTTGGTGGTGGTTGTGTGGGCAGTACTAGGCTGTTAGGATCATGCCAACCATGGATACTATCTCTCTGTTTATGAGAGTAAACATGAACTGAACTCAATTTAATTGGTATGTTTTCTTTTTCCAGGAGCTGGAGGAGGGAATGATATTCAATGGTGTTTTTCTCAGGTGAAAGGAGCAGTTGATGATGATGTAGCAGAAGGTAAGAAAGTGTTTAATAATGTAAAATTTGAATATAGAATCTTAATCTTGATTACTGAAAGATTTGAACCTGAGCCTGTTGTAGTTTAAGAATATTTTGTGTTTATTGCACAAGAAATGAAAGAAGTTTTAAAAGTCATCTTTCTGGAAGATAGTCTTAACTTTTTTATTTGTGCCTTTAAAAAATTACTTTTATCCTGACTTGAAATGGAAGCAGTAAATTATTTATTTACACACACACACACACACACAAAACTGTTGTTAAGAAAGCTCTGAAGTTAATAGGATAGAGATTTCCTTGTCATATAAATTCCACATAACAAATAAAAGATGGTGGATTTTCATGTTTGTTGTCTTTGGATAATTAAGTGGAAGTAGATGCCATCAAACTTAGAAACATTCTTGGTAGTACTTTTTATTTATGGGAAGATTTTTAGGTTCTTTTGAACTTTTTGTACTTTGGGAGTGTGGTATTAGTTGGCTGTTCTGTGAAGAAATGCTGGCTTGAATTATTTGTTCTTGTGAGGATTCTTTTAGGTAGTTGAGGAAATGGTGGGAATATATGGCTTGTCTTCTGGGAAATATACTATTTTCTTGGACAGTTAAAAACTGATCAGTTGAATAAATCCCCCCAAGTTTTATTAATTTATTTCAAAAGTTGATCAAAATTTTTGAAACTGTTTTCAATGAATGTTTGAGGTGGTGGAGGCATTATTTCCAATGTAGTAGTTATATTACTTCCTTGTTCAAAAATACTATTTAAAGTTTCTGTTTTAATGGTATTCTGTGTCTTGAATTATAGTAGGAGTTTTCCAAACAAAAGTCAGAGAAATTGTAACATATTTTTGATTTTTAAAAATTGGTCTAGTGAAAATTTGTATACTCTTTTTCTAGATTATATTGTTCTTATACCAAAATCCTAGTTCTAGCCTACAAGTGTGGAGTTCTGTTTGTTTTGAGGGTTTTTCCAGGTGGTGGTAGGATGGTGTGGTGGCTTTGTGTTGAGCCAGCCAAATGCTTGTATTTGCTATGTCAGTATCATTCCTCATGAAGTGTCTGATCAGAGTGTGGCAAATGCTGTAGAAAGCCAACTGACATACATAATACTGTTCTCCCATCTTTCTTTTCTGTTGGATCCTCTCCATTCTTTCAGATGAGAAACCAGAAGCTTAAAGAAGTCAAGAGACTCACTGATGGTCACACATATAGTGTGAGTCAAGGTTTTCTGTTGAAGCCCATGGTTTTTGACTTGTTAGGATAAAGAAATCCCAAATTCAAGGGAGGAGGAATGTATTCGTCATTTTGTAATTCCCAATACCTGTTGAATAGTAGGCACTTACTATTGGATTTTAGTTCTTTGCTGTTGTGTAATACTCACCAAGTTATGAAAGTGGTATATACTTGGAAAACATTCCTTGGATGAATTTTGTTTATTCCGTTTATCAAAGGTCTCTTTAAGTGTTCAGCACTAAGGATCTAGAGCATCTAGAACACAAACTCTACTCTTGAGGAGCTCAGTTTATTAACTATTAGGCAGAAAAACCATATGGATTTTATGTAATCAGAAGAAATTGATTTTCCAAACTCTGAACATCAGTTACCTAACTGAGCCAGTTGATAGTTTGTGATTACATAATGGATCAGTTATAGTTCTTGTTTGCTAACACTTAGGAGCTACATTTTGCTACTGATCATTAAATAATTTTCTGAGGTTGTTAAATATTATTGCAATGTATAGTGTATACCTAGCCTTTTAAAATGCCAAGGCTTGCTATGTGTATTTTAGTAAAAATAAAAACATGGCTTATGTATATCTTTGCAAGTATGTTATGTATGAAGAGCATGCAATTTTCAAATTACACTGCTTTAATTTTGAGTATTTTTATACTAAGTTTGCAAATCATTTTTGTTTATATTACTAGAAAGTTTTGCTTTTCTGACGTAGAATAAGATTTTTAATGTTTTTTCCCCTTAAATTTAGACGATACATAGGTTATATCTAGATCAGCCTATAGCTTAGATTATCTGTATCTGTATCATTGTATCTTAGTTTTTTCCCATCAGGCTCCATCCACATTTCTTTCTCCTCTTCTGCAATCAATTGCAGGACATACCATTTTTCCTTCTGTAATGCTTTTCATACCTGCTTTTACCTTTGTTCAGTCTCATATTATCTCTAGAGCTGGACTAATTATCTAGTACTCTACCTCTGAGCCACAACCCCAGTCCCATCAGTGTTAGATTTTATATTTTTCCTTCATTGATAACTTTCATAAGGTGGTAAAAACACAGACTCTTTCCTTGTTCTAAGTCAATCTTAAATGCAGTCCCAGTTTTGTCAATTTTCCCCCCAAATCTTCAGTGGATCACTGTATTCACTGAATTAAAACTAAATTTGAATATTTTAGCCTAGAATGTGCAATATTTCTTCAGAATGCCTCCTACCATGGCTAACAGTTGAACTAACTAGCTACTGTTCATCAAGCAAGTCCTATACACTCTTATGTCCGTTCTTTGTTTTTTGCCATTCTCTCCTTGTTATGCCTGATATTATCCTACAGTTCTTCTCTTATCATAGTTCTAGTTATTCTTCAAATTATGCCCACAACCCTTTTATTTAATTACCTCTTTTGGAAATTAAAATTTTTCTTTCGGGTATTTTGTTACATAGGTGTATTTCATACCCCAAATTTTGCACTGTAAACTTAATGCTGGACTAATTATTTTCATGTTCTATGCAGAATATCCTGCGTAAACTGCTGTGCCTAGAACAATGCTGGGCACATAGTAAGTGTAGAATACTTGTTGAATAAAGGAATCTCAATACTACCGTTATTAGATTTTGTCTGAAAAGGAAAGAAAATGGGTGAAAGGCGCAGTTATTGAGAAGTATTTTTCGCAATGGTGGCTTTACTTACTTGGCAGCCTTTGTAACTAGATTGCTGATATATATATTTATATTTTTATATATATATATATATCTCTGTATGAAAACAAAAAAGTCAGAAGACCTTGGACTTTTTCCCTAGTACTACCACAAACTAGTGTATATCATTCTGGATAAGTACTCCTCTGGGTTCCTGTGTGCTTAGACATAAAATAACAGGACTGGATTAGAAACTGCTGTTGATTATACTGTAGTTCTCAAACATGTCTCAGAAAGGACCAGCTCAGTAGTAACCTTATTACTATTGAGGTTGTGTTGAGATGTTGAACTTAATAGAGGCCTTAATTTAAAAATAAATCTTTACTTATTCAAGGCCCAGAATTTTTTATTAAGTAAATTACAGAGCTAAGACAGAACTTAACATTAGCCCATATAGTTCATTATAGGACATTTAACAACTATGTTGGAATTCTTGTCTTATATATGTCTTTACAGGCATGTACCCAAAGTAGATTATCTTTGGTATAGCTCCTAAACTGTTTGGGAGGAGGATGAGACACTAAAATCTCTCTTACTCTGATATTCTCTTGTCATACAGTTTTTATTTTAATTTTAATGATAGCATTTTTTTTTTTTTTTCATGGTTCTGGGGATTGAACCCAAGGCCTTATGCATGGGAGGCAAGCACTCTACCAACTGAGCTACATTCCCAGCCCAACAAATGTTATTTTTAAAAAGTTTTTTAGTTGTAGATGGATGCAGTACCTTTCTTTTATTTATTTTTATGTGGTGCTGAGGATAGAACCCAGTGTTTCATGTGTGCTACATAAGTACTCTTCTACTGAGCCACAACCCCAGCCCCAGTAAGATTTTAATTTTCCTTTATTAATAGCTTTCATATCATGGTAAAAACATAGACTTGGATTCGAGGCAACATAGTTTGAATGCTCCCCATCACTTGAAGTATGATCTTAGGCAAGTTAATTCATCTCTTTGTGCTTATTTTCCCCAATTATTAAGTGTGCATAACATTAAAACCTATCCGTGTTATTTTGGTGATTAAATGAGTTTATACACATAAAACATGAATAGTACACACCACATAATGAGAGCCTTAAAGGTTTTGGCAACTTATTATTACTACTTGAATGTTTATAGCAAATAAGGGAGAGTCCTTGGAGTGTAGAGAAATTGGGGTATTGTCTTTAAAAGGCTATTAAAATTTTTCATGGCCAAAGTGAAGGAAACAGATTATGGGAGTGTGTTTGTACTTATTTTCTGCATTAGTAAAAAAGTTCAAAAATATTCAGAGCTAAGTTGTAGGTTTAGAGACATGCATGAATCTGGTAAAAACCAAACAAAAAACATATAATGTAAAGCCATGAAATAATTACTATAAAAGCCAGTGTAACTGGGCGTGGTGGCACATACTCATAACCTGTCTTCCACCTCAGCAGGGGAATTACAGGTTCCAGCCCAGCCTTAGCAACTTAGTGAGACCATGTCTCAAAAATAAAAAGGGCTGTGATATTGTCCAAATTATATTGTTATATTGTATATTGTGTGTATGTAACAAATCCTATCAGTGTTTTCAACTGTAATGTACCAATAAATAAATGTGGGGGGAAAAAAAGGGCTGGGAATGTAGTTCAGTCCCCAGTAAGTCCCCAGTAAAGTCGGTGTAGGGGTTACCTTTAATTGGGTGGGAGGGAGTTGTGATTAAGAAGGGCTGGGGAGGACCTTAGGGCTGTTGTGATCTGGAAAGTGGTATTAGTATATTGTAATGTTTGTACAAAACGTTATTTTAATGTTAACATAGAATCTCTCATTTTCATATTTTATAGTCTTAAAAACTTTCCTTTTTTAAAAAAAACATTTTTTATTAGTTGTTGTTGGACCTTTATTTATTTATTTGTGGTGCTGAGAATCAAACCCAGTGCCTTATACATACTAGGCAAGCTGTCTACCACAGAGCCACAACTGCAACCCCCACAAACTTTCTTTTATGGGAAATTATTTTAGGGCATGATTTTTAATTACATGAAGTCTGATTTTTATGGAACTTGGTTGCAGATGTATCTTTTCCCCTCTTTGCTTCCTGCATATTTTTGGTA